TTGACAAAATCTTTATTATTGCAGATATATTTATGGTTTTTTTGTGTAACTAGCTGATTTACTCTTGCTCCGAACCCCATCAATAATGATTAATTATAATACTTTTAACATAGCGAAGCGATTTGCGTGAAAAACGAAAATTTCAAAATTTTGAGTTAGAGTAGTGTTCATTGGAGGCATCGTTTTCAGAAACATAGACGAAAGTCATTTGATTATTGTATTATCATTGATCCTTGAAACATACAAAAATTTCAAATAAAGCATACATATATAGCTTGGAGTTGATGAAAATTACGGTAGATATAACTAATCAAATGCATTAATAAAGCAAATTATATTTTTTTCATAGAATATTTTTAATTGTGTATCATCAACCAATTTCAAAAATGACTGATTGATTGTACAACCGCCAAACTGAATATTGATTTGCAACAAATAAAGGTACGACTGTTGCAAATTTTTTTTTTATTTTTTTTTTATTGCTTCGATGTGTGGACGAGTTCACAGCCCGCCTGGTGTTAAGTGGTTACTGGAGCCCACAGACATCCACAACGTAAATGCGCCACTCACCTTGAGATATAAGTTCTAAGGTCTCAAGTATAGTTACAACGGCTGCCCCACCCTTCAAACCGCTTCTACTGCTTCACGGCAGAAATAGGCAGGGTGGTGATACCTACCCGTGCGGTCTCACAGGTCCTACCACCAGTAATTACGCAAATTATAATTATAATATGATAAAATACGAAGATAAAACAATTCGCCTGCAAATATGATTATGTAGGTATTTAAAACGACGAGCGCATGAATAATTGAGATTGTGAACTGTATTATTTGCATAATAAGATAAATTATTATGTATCTGTTGTAATTAATATTCTTGGTATAACCTTACTTATAGTATTGTTCCAACAAATAGGTATGCAACAGAAAACCGCATCAAAAAATCTCCTGTAAAGGAAACTTATTAATATAACGAACATTCTGTTTAAATTCTGTTGAATTACGAAAACCGCAATTAGGATTGCCATTGGCAAAGCCACGAAACATTTAATTTTGTTTGTGAGAATTTTATCTATTTTCAAGTAATTAGCATAAAGGAAATTAATATAATTCAAATCTATAGTTCCTCAATAAGTAAGTAGTCTATTCTAATTTTTGGTAAATAAAACACAAAAAGAAAAACTCTAATTAACATTATACATAACAGTATGAGAAAAAATAAAACGCGTGAAAAGTTATTATCTATCACTGCTTTTTGTAACTACGAGAATTTATTGCAATCCTTATCACGTATCTTCTAAACAAAACGTGCCGTTATTTAGGACGTTCATTTACTACTAGAATAAAAAGCCTTCTTTTTTTCAATGAAATAAGACAAAGTTTTCATTCAAAAATTTAAATTAGTTTAATTAACAAACAACCCTTATTTGGATATCACGTAATATTTTTAGTCACGTGTCATTTATCGAAGCCATTTTACGTTTCACTAAACTAATACGTTGCACATAGATTTATAATTAAACATGAGACTAGATGATGATAGAGCTTTGCTCGGTTTTTTTTTGATAACGCCATCTTGTTGTCTCTTTAAAGCGGTTAGTTGCCCTCAACTAAGAAAAATAGTATTATTATTCGCTAATAGATGTCGGGAAGAGTTGATTATTGAAAACACGAATACAACAACATTTTCTGAAAATCGTTGCAGCCGTTTCCGAGATTCAGATTATATATAAACAAGAATTGCTCGTTTAAAGGTATAAGATACATTGCCTCTACCTAATTTTATAGATGCTTCAGTTTTTCCGACGAACCTTGACGAATGAGGCATTGTTGCAGTTCACGATACTCAGGCGCGACTGTACGAATGCACTCATAAAGTTTCCGCATTGTGATTTTATCCAAAAACATAAATGTTACAGTAGATTGTTTAGCTTCAGAACCGCAGATACAAAAACTCGGTGGATTGTCAGATGAACGTACTCGAGAGAAGGTCGCGTTGCAGACCACTACATTACATGTGAGTTCTCATCGCTACAGTTACTTTTGCGACAAAACTAAATTAACTGTTGAATTTATTAATATCATTTATTTATTATATTTAATAATAATAAAAAAAATCTATAAAAGAAAAAGATTTTCTATCCATTAATATGATAGATTAATACGTTAATTTTTACGTCATGCGATTCGTTTTTCTTATTTACACATTTCAATTTAAATATACGAAACTAAATGTACGTGTCAATATGAGTTATTCGGTGAACTAGTTTGAGTTTCTTTATAAAATTGTACAAGGCTGAGGTTGAATAATGTTTAGAAGGTCTTCTTATGTGCGAGATTTGAAAAGTGTCTTAGTCTATACAAAAGTTTCGATACATAATCGGATTAATAACGTGTACCATAAAAATGGCTTGACGTAGGCATCCATTCATCGTCGGATTACATTCTGGCTGACAGGATAAGACTCGAAGATTTCTCGTACATTGTAATACGTACATTGTAATATAAACAATACAAGGTTATAATAACACCAGTGAAACGCAGTCCTTTTCTTGTTGTCACGAAATAATAAAAGGATAATAACCGTCGGATACTTTTTGGTGGAATAAAATATTTTTGTATAAATAAATTACATACTGATATTTCGTATAAAAGTTACAATTATTACTTTAGTTATGTTAACAAATTAACCGAAACGTCGCCTTGTTTCGTCGCCGTTGCGACAAAAAGTTGATGGGATTAAACTTCATTAACCTAAAATATCCGCTCTAAGACTAGTCTAGTCTAATAGTTTTGTTATTCGCGCTAAATTATGCTTCTCCGCCAATTGAATTAATGGTTTTCAAAGCAAGTTTTCGTAAATTATATTTATTTAAGTAGATCCAAATTTACATTTTTCAATCGACAATTGAATAGTTAGTGAGAAAAACTATCAGTTTTATTGCTGCTGATAAGTAAAAGAGCCCATGTGATGAGGTTAGTCTTGAGTCATTATCTTGAGTGGTTAGCGGAACCCACGAATATCACAACGTGTTTCCCGTCGCGCATCTTGAGATTTGAAGTCGAAATCTCACTTGTTTTGTATAAAGGCCCATCCTTCCATTCTAAGCCCTGATTCGCAGCAGAAATAGGCAGGATGAAAGGAACAGAGAGGTCCATAATAGTCCAATATGGCGTAAATTTTTTTGACATCAAGCTAATTTATCCTTACCATAATAATATCTTTTTTCGAAAAGACACCGAATAAGTAGGGTAGAACCTAAATCGATAGGCGAAATGGATGAAATTTTTAGAATTCTGTTTGCTGTCCTCAGTATATTTAATTTTGATCTAACAACAAAAAAATGTCATCTAAAAATAGAAAGGCGCATTACAGCTTAAGCTATCTAAAAAAATCAATTGGGAGCAACACCGCTTCGACCAAAAATTCGTTTGCCTTCATACGTTTTGTGTAATTGAAATCAATTTATCATTGTTATAAAATGCATGTATGTATGTAATTATTTCGTATAAAACAACGATGTAAATCATTATAAAGGATGAACCCGCCTTATAAGATAATATTTAATAGCAAAATGTCAGTCAAGTATAATAATTACACCACGAATCATCAAACTAGAAGACCCTTCATTAAATAAATAACTAAATGGCCCTTAGAGTTTGGAACGCTACTTCATCGTTTGATTTATATCCACGGCGAGTTCATAACACACACGATGCACCAGAAATTTTAGTGGAACTCGTTAAGAGCTCTGACCGAATCTCCGAATTTAAACTTGAAAGAAAAACGCATAATATGACCATAGAGAGAAACGAACCTGTTAGTTATGGTTATGCAAAATGTAACGTTATACGTTTAGTAATACAGTAGTTTTGAGCTTGCGTTAAACGGTTACACATAGAAATCGTAACATAAGTGTCAGCTCATGAAATAGAAGTATCAGAAATTTTAATCGTGTAGCTGCAACAGCCAGTCTTTCGCGGTAAAATGGGGAGGAAAGTAACACCTACCCGGATTACCGCACACACGCCCTACCATACATACAAAGAAAATAAAATAAATAAATGTAACATAACGCGTAAAACAGTTATTCATGATTATTCAATTCCTGCATACGCTGCCGACTGCCGACTGTCGATGTTTATTGTTTAATTTCCGGATCCAATGTATATTGCCAAACGTTTATATTTTGTAGCAATTGTTCTTTTATAAAGAAGCCTATTGTTCAAATTGAATAGATGCAGGTTAACCGCGATCATCGGACATTAGGATTGCATAATGAATAAAATATTTTCTCAATACTCCGAGATTGCCTTTAAGTTTTGAAAACAATTGATGCCCTGGCTTTATAGCTTTAATAGACAAAATTGACAATAGCTGCGTACCACATTATGCGTGAGTAACCGTGAGAGTGTTTAGTAAATGATGAAACAGAGAATACGTACTCAAAACACAAGACGTATCCAAGTCGCAATGAACATTCTTTGCGACGTAGTATATTCATAATTTTTCTCCTTTTCTATACTAAAATATATAATATTATAAAGAGGAAATATTTGTTTGTTTGTTTGTATTGAATAGGCTCCGAAACTACAGAACCGATTTTAAAAAATCTTTCACTATTCGGAAGCTACACTATTCCCGAGTGACATAGGTTATATTTTTTTTTTTTACTAGAACTCCAATAATGTAACTAAGGTGTAAAAAAAATTACCTAAAATATTATTTACATCGCGTGCCCTGCGAAAACTATTGATGATAGAATAAAATAATGTACTACGATTTTGTAGAACACATTATTATTTACAAAAAGTGTCGCGACAGCATACGTCTAACTATTATAGTTATGCCGCAATAAGTGTTCTTTTATTTAAAAAAATAAAACAACGTCAAATATCGTTGAAATTTTTGTTAAATACCCGAGCGGAGCCGGAGCGAGCCGCTAGTTTGTTATAATAAGGAAAAGTAGAATAGAATAATTTAAAATGTTTTTTTATAGATATCGGATATAACATGTTGATGAGGTGGCTGACATTGGCATTGGTGGCAGCGAGCTGTCGCGTCGCCAGTGCCTGCACGTGCGCATTGGAACACCCGCAAACTCATTATTGCAAAAGTGATTTTGGTAAGTCCACGCCAATTATGGAGGATTAAACTAATTAAAAGGTGCGGAGATTATCATTCAATTTCTTGGAATTACGTAAATTTAATAAGGACACCGCTAATCGTAAAGATCTAATTAATTAAATCAAAAGATGAAAATGTCTAACGGAGTATTCATATAAATTTTCCACTACGCTTGTTTAAAAGCTCCGAAATTCACTAGATTAGTTCTTTTCAGTAATCGTCGGCAGGGTTCAGAAAACATTTCGCGGGAGAGAAGACTACGACATTTACAAAGTGAAAATTCGAAACGTTTTCAAAGTGAGTGTACATTTCTGTGCTTATTTCATCCTTCCAACAAATTAAAATAATTTAACGAACTTTATCAATGTAAATTGAGCAATCTTCAGTGAGTATTTAAGTTCAATAAAACAAAATGCCTGCTCGTGATTTACCACAAATAATTAAACAATTATGAGGGCTGTCTCGTTTTAAATTGTAGAATATCGATTAACTTGAACATGCCTCATAAAACATTATGATCTCAAAAGTATTTCATAATACGACGAAAATATATTACACAATGCTATCATAAAAAACGTATAAGCTTTCGATCGAGGCAATAACTTTTATCGCCGTCTTTTACTATTGACGAAACATTGTTATTACAGAATTTTTATTCAGTGATTTCTGTGTAATCTTTTTAGCGCTTTAACGATATGATTGTTTCAGAAATCAAATTTATTATTATTTTATTGATCCAGATCGGTCCGTCTGCATTTGTTTAAATATTTACTGGTGGTAGAACCTCTTGTGAGTCCGCATGGGTATTTACCACCGCCCTGCCTATTTCTGCCGTGAAGCATTAGTGCGTATAGAATTCATATCTCAAGGTGGGTGGTGGCATTTACGTTGTAGATGTCTCTGGTAACTACTTAACACCAAATGGGCTGTGATCTCAAACATCCATATAGGCAATAAAAAAAATATTCTGTACTTTTTTTAGATAGAGTATTTCTCTGGAATATGACAATCTTGGTTAAAAAATCTGTCAATACTGTAACATAAATGCACCATTAAAATTAATAAATATAAATAAGATAAACTTCAAAACAAAATACTACATCCTAAAATATAAATCTTTAACTGGAGCTCAATTTAATGTAATTGCTAAAATCGTTTATAAATCGGAGCATTGAAACATGTTATTATTCACAGGCAACAGACAAGGCTGTGGCGGCGCTTAGATCCGGCCGGTTATTTACGCCCCCTCATGAGTCCCTTTGTGGAGTCAGCCTACAGCCGAGGGAGACCTATGTTATTACAGGTATTATATATCGGCGTACAAATTTTGTTATATTTTATTATAGATTATAGCGATCCAGCTCGATTATTAGTCTATTGATCAGAAGATGGTTCAAGTCGAATTGCTAAAACTACTACATCATCTAGATATCCGATGTAGTAGCAATTACCAATCTTATTTTCAGTACTTATTTCCCTTTGACTTCGGTAATCGCTCAATATTCAGAATAGATATTCGGAATAGAATATGTAGGAAGAAGTGTCAGTAACAACTCAAGGTGTCAAAATCTGACAACATTATTTGCAATCGACAGCCGACAAGACTAAATATAGCATTCGACATTATTTGTTAAAGTTGATTAACAATAAATAAACTTTTAAGCGACAACTAGATTTGGTAGCTCTAAAACATTATTATATAGACTGGTTATTTCATGAATATGGCAAGGGCGCATAAGAAACCAGTCATTATAGTCTGAAAGCTGTTATTTGATATCAACGCAGATTTATCAATAATAGGGATTGCTTAAATACAACTTGTCAATACAAAATTCATTGATAAGTACTTATATAGTTGTGNTAAACTTTTAAGCGACAACTAGATTTGGTAGCTCTAAAACATTATTATATAGACTGGTTATTTCATGAATATGGCAAGGGCGCATAAGAAACCAGTCATTATAGTCTGAAAGCTGTTATTTGATATCAACGCAGATTTATCAATAATAGGGATTGCTTAAATACAACTTGTCAATACAAAATTCATTGATAAGTACTTACATAGTTGTGTAGGCGACCGGTAGACTGGAAAACAACTTGTTCACTGTATTACTTCACTGGAATCTAAATATAAGACTTAAAAACTATGGAACCGTACGTTTATATGGTAATTAGAAAAAAGTTAGTAATGTTTAACGAAAAAATAGATTATGCGTTCTGCACTTAATCTTGATCAGATTTTCCGTATATGAGACAAATAGCAATATTATATACAAAACAGCAAAGTATTCTTCGTGAAACTGGTTCCGACGGGTAATAAACCAGGATCTAAGGTCCAGCTTAGGCACTTAGCTTGAGATCATCAAGGTGATCAAATAGCAGAATAGTTTTCAAGATATGCAAGGCACTAATCCACACATTTGATGGTGACAAAATCTGAAACTATATTAAATTTAACATCTCCAATAAAAAAAGATAGCTTTAAAAATAAAAAATAAACACACGCTTTCGTATCGAATCTACTTACTAAAAATAAAAATAGCATCTGTATCCTGCTGATTCAGTTTCTGTTAAGTATGCCAATTTTTATGTTAATTGTCCGAACTCGATCAACTGAACAATAGACATAGATTAAGCTAATAAATTTGGTAGGTAATGAAAAAGTATCAATTCATTACAAAAATCGTCCGTAGAAATTAATTACTAGTACACGTCCCTATGCGCCTTACGTACATACATTTTGGGCATTAAATTTTGTTCAGGCGCCTAAATAGTTTTTCCATTGATCACTCGCGGAGTTGCTTTATTCTACAATAAATTACGGAAGACAAATTTTCAAATGACCTTTTTTATTTATATATTATCATGTATTTTCAGGTCAAGTGTTGCATTTGGAAGCGCATATTTACCTCTGCGGGTACATTGCCAAATGGCGGGAGGTGACACCACGTCAAAGAAAAGGCTTCAGACTTCTTTACAAACAAGGATGTACTTGTAAGGTACGCTGTGTTTAAAAAAAAGACGTCTAATCTTGAGATGAAATTATGTATACGTTAACGAAACAAAGGTTTGAAAATGCTTTAATCATTCAAGACGTATATTTTAATCGTAACAAATGATTTCACCAAATCTATAAACGAATTCTGTAATAAATAAAAATAATATCATAGACCAACTACTCAACCTTTCCTATCTTACGAGCACTTCACAAAAAATATAATATATATGTAAATGATAGATATGTGCATAATTTATACGTAAAGGACGGCCTAACATAAAGGAGAGCCAGTAAGAAAGAATTTTAATAAAATCTACCATGTATAACCAACCATATAACAATGCACCAAAACCGTTGAATGAACTAGTCCGACGAACAGTTTCAAACTATAAAGTTTATCGCTTCGGTTAATAGGAATTTATCGTTTGATAAAACTTTGTCGAAGTTTTACGTTTAACTACTACGATATTATACGACCACAATTCTTCGAAATGATAAAATAATGCTAAACAATCATTAATTCTCGTAGTTGTTCATTAACTCTGGCAATAACACTTTGTTTTAAATTTCTTCATTAAATACAATATGCTAATACATTTTTGTTGTTGAATTATATCGCATTTTACGTCTAAGATCTAAGGACCATTAAAACGACTTAAAATATACTTTAAAAAGATTAATCTCATCGGGATCGACGATAATCATATTATGTAATATAAAATTAACGTATAACATTTGAAATGAACCGAATATAAGGTTTTTGACGTGATAACGTCTTATAATTCGATGGAGCCGGCTGCACGCACGAAAAAACATGACTCATGCGGCGTTACCTCGCTCTGAGGCGTATTTTCTTATGACTTTGTCACGTTCAACTATCGTCAGTAAACAGACTTTACAGACAACGATTTTTTTCTCGGATATACGTGTATTTCTTTCGTTTTAATAGAATTTATCATGTTTAGGTCCACGAAACGCGGCGTCGCACGAAATCTCCGAACACTTGCGTGACGAACTACAACGAATGCTACGAGCGACACGGCATCTGCCTTCACGATCGCGAAAGACGCTGCCACTGGACTAGGTAACCATTATTCACATTATGAGTCAATACAAGAATATAGTACTTTATATTGAAACGCAGATACTTAAAGCAGTTGAACTACGATGTCTTGTAAAACGATTTGTCTCTTTAAGTTTTGATTTAGAAATAATATAGATGAGTCATCGCAAAAAACTGAAAGTTATTGTCGTAGAAGATATAACTAAGATAATGGATTTGTTCGGATAAATAGATGGACTTCTGAGATTGGAGTCTCAATTTTTATAAGCGGTTTTTTAGTATACATCGTATTTTCTTTTATCCTGTTAGTCACATGACTCTGTACCACCTGTAAGACCCCGGACGCTTCAAAATATCCGTGATGTTTATCGATCTTCTATTTATATACTTTAGTTCATTCCTTTAGGGTATTAAAAGGGTATACGCGTAAACAGCTTGCCTTTGAATATGTTTGAAGTGCAGGATGTGAGTCACGGTTTATGTTACAGGGCCCCGGCGCTCACCCGATGCATGCAAGCTCAACGTTTCAACAACACTATGACTATGACTTGATTAACCTAACACGAAGCAGATGTTCACACTAAACTGTACCTTCTGGATATATTCGAAACATTCAAATGAAAAAATAATAAACTTAAAGGCTTCGTCAAACAGAACGCGTACTTAGCGCTGCGTTTTAACGTCGCGCTCTTTTCATGTCACACAAATTGACTAGATGAGTCCAACGCTCCTTGACGCAACGCATTCGCCAAATCATAGTACCTTTCGATAGCAGTGCGAAAATTTAAAAGTATTAAGATGATTCGAGTGAGTCGAGTGATTCAGATATGGAATTGTATAAGCATGAGTATTTTTTAACTAATTCTATCAATTTTTCGGGCATTATCCAGTATTAATACACATTCACCTGGACGCTAAAATGAAATTAGTAAAAAATTACAACGCCTGACGTCAAAGCGTCCTAACGCCGCGACAGAGCGTTGAGTACTGCTAGCGCTGGCGCCTGGCGCTCTGTTTGACAGTATGTTACCATAGTAGTACAACACATCTTGGCGTCATAGCGCGCCGTCAGTTTAGCGTTCTGACGCGCGCTAAGTACGCGTTCTGTTTGACGAAGCCTTTAGCATTATATTAATTGTCAACTTACAGCGCAGTGCGGTTACGTTTCGTTTAGTGAGAATCACTTTTGTATTTTTAAGCACCACGAAATCAGGTGGAGATTTATTTATTACTTAAATTAACAATGATCGATCGATTCGAGAGACTGAACGTGAATGGAAGTGAAATGATTCTTTGTGACGAATTTACTTATTGGAAAATGTACCTAAATATTATACATAATTTGTTATTTTCCTTTGGACGCTTCCAAATTGTTGTTTTGTCTTTATAGACAAATGTAACGTTAACGTTATTTTTTTTTGTATTATTTATTTCTAAGTTAATGATTGTAAATTAACAAGCCATAGTGATAGTTAGTTTTTAATAAATAAAAAATACATATGGAAAACATTGTCGTTTTATTAAGACTTTTTTTTTATTCGCTTGAATTATTAAAGTTACCTTTACTGAGCTGAAACTGGAACTGTTGTTTTTTCAATTCATAAATGGGTGAATGATTTGATGGTTCATCTGGTGTTAAATGAGTGAGACATCTCAAGACTTCGGGTCTGAATTGTAGTCGTACTAAATATGCATTTTCACCAGCGAATGTAAAACAAATTTCGATTCTAAGGAAACACATTCATTTTAATAAGAGAATCTATCTATATCTGTTAACTACTCACCATGTCAGTGTGGTTGTGGTAGTAGGTTTGTTCGATGAGAGGAAAGTTCTCCCGACCAAGGCGCCTCTGAAGCTGTAGAAGATGTCCAAAAACCCAAGGACGATCCTATTATAAATAAATCAGTATGTATTACATATAAGCAATTGTGAAATAAAAACCAAATTAAGATAGCAGTCACGTATGCATTGAAACACGAGTCCATGGTTAATCCGCATGTCACGCTCCAACTAGCTTTCGATAAAAAAAGTATTGCTAAATTATTTTCAGAATGACGAAATGACTTAACACGAACAGGAAAATGTTGAAAACGTGCTGGCCTATCTGTGAATCTATGGCAACAAAATAATCAATAGGTAAACTTACACGAGGCTGAACCTAATTAAGCTTAACTCAACTTAAATTTTCGCAAAGGAAAGCCGACCCTAACTGTGCATGGGAGAGTCTAAACGGCAAAAGAAAAATAATAAATAATAAAAATAGTATGTACTAACAGTTTTTTCCCCTACCTATGCTCATAGCTTTGAGAGGCTATTTCAGCTTTTCCTTGACGTGTAGATGAGCTTACGGGGCTCTAACCGGGAGTGTTGCTAGCACTGGCCCTAGCAAGAGCAGTGCTTCGCAGAATCTACCACCGGTTCGGAAACACAACCCACTGAGAAGATCCGGCGAGAAACTCAGGTGGCTGTGTGTCTATGGGTTAATTCACTTCTCGAGCCCTTCGTCGCAAGCGACGGGTTCGGCGAGAATGGTGGCCGGTGCTTGTGGTACCTAAAAGCACCACTAATAGTAGACTGTCAATATAGTATGCCTTCTATTCAGTGATAAATTTAAATATGTATTTCAAAATGAAAATGTATTTTCTTAATTTACTATAAATACTCAAGCGCAGTAATGTAACGGGAGATTGTCTTTAAAATAATTTTGTCGCTGCCGATTTTTTAGAATTAAATGAGTAATTAAGTACTAAATAAGTTCACACTACGATGATACATATAAAAACACTTGACGCTTATAATGCGATAATTTACTACATATCCCTGATAAAATTTGCACTCTGGAATATTTTGTATGTCAAGCACACAAGATTTAAGTAAACTTACTTGGAAATGGTAAATTGAGTTGAGGCTGTTGATGGAAGGAACTCCTCCGAACTTGAGTCCCAGCAGTAGAGCGCGATGATCGGCGCCAGCGTCCCGTACGTTTTGCCTCACCAGCACGAAATCAGGCCTAAAGTAGATCGAAGATATTAGGAATCATAAAATTAACGTAAGGTATATCAGAACTGAAAATATAACACACATTGTCGGACGGATGTCCTATTATTCAGTTTTAGTTTACAGATGTTAACTTTTTACAATAGCGTTATATCCTCTAACTATCTATGTACTGGTGGTAGGACCTAGGTATATATACGGCTAGGTACCACCACCCTGCCTGTTTCTGCCGTGAAGCAGTAATGCGTTCGGTTTGAAGGGTGGGGCAGCCGTTGTAACGATACTTGAGACCTTAGAACTTATCTCTCAAGGTGGGTGGCGAATTTACGTTATAGATGTCTATGGGCTCCAGTAATCACTTAACACCAGGAGGGCTGTGAGCTCGTCCACCCATCTACGCAATAAAAATAATAATTATGTTTTATGTTATGCAACAGAATACAGTTTTGAAATAACTTGAAACGCACGACCGATGAAAAAACATATAACTCACAAAGAGGTCTGAGGTCTCTGAAAACTCAGAAGCTTGAAACTATCCATGTTCTCTGATTAATGGAATCAAACGTAAACGAGTTTAAAAGTATGCGAACGAAAGTTCGATCTGTATTTTTCGGTATATCTTATGAATGTTTAAATGATTTTTAAATTTAAATTGACAGAAAAGTGAAAGCAGACGATGTTTTCGATCTCAACGTGAATTTTATGTATTTCAAACGGTTTTAGTCCACGAAGATTCTAAGAAAAAACTTAAAAATACTTATATTGAAATAAAAATAATTACTAATCACACACTTTTAACGGCCGTCTGGTGTAGGGTAAGTGACATGGTCACTACACAAGGGGGTCGCGGGTTCGAATCCCGCCAAGAGAAGATATTTGTATGATAAATATAAATGTCTTTTCCAGGATTATGGATGTATATTAAATATATGTATGTGTATAATAAAAATCTTACATTTATATCCGTTATCTGGTACCTGTAACACAAGCTCTTTACGAACTTATCACGGGACCAGTTAACGTGGCGTGATTGTTAGTAAATATTTATTTATTTATTTACTTACTTGAAACATCGTGTCACTTTCGTACCACTACGGTACACCGCCATGGAAACGTTGGCTCCATCCGAGTTCGCAGTTACTGTGAGTTCCTATTAAAAACATGAGTATTTCATTAATCATAATCTTCTTCTTCTAGCTTTTTCCCGGTCTAGTTCTAGGGTCCGCTTTCATACTTAAACTCCTCCACTTTGCCCGGTCTTCGGCATTCCTGCTGGATAACTAATGAGGCTCTGGCGAAAGTGGTTCCCATCAGGGTTTGGAGGTCAGGCGGCAGTCGCTTCATATAATACCATAAATCTTTTTTTTTATTGCTTAGATGTGTGGACGAGCTCACAGCCTACCTGGTGTTAAGTGGTTACTGGAGCCCATAGACATCTACGACGTAAATGCGCCACCCACCTTGAGATATAAGTTCTAAGGTCTCAGTATAGTTACGACGGCTGCTCCACCCTTCAAACCGAAACGCATTACTGCTTCACGGCAGAAATAGGCAGGGTGGTGGTACCTACCCGTGCGGACTCACAAATGGTTCTACCACCAGTAATCTGCTAGTTATTATGGAAATGTCGGATAAAATGTTGAGTACTGTGACTAGGGAGTCGCCGCATAATCTAATAATGCTTCAACTATTTCAAGAAGACTTATTTAAGGATAATCTCGGTCATGAAACTGTTAAATGATATTTCCACGCTATATTTTTTACTAAAAAATTTAACTACAGATCATTATAGTTCACTGCTAGTATTCCCAACGAAACACCCTCTAGCACATAAAATTTCCATTAGGTCAGGTAGTCGTTCCGCTAAAGTTTTAATTATGATTAGCGAAGGTACTAAATATCTGGCTAGCATTTTAAAATACACATTTTTACGACAAACCTGTAACTTTGTTAATATTAAACCTTAAAGTCGTACGAAATGTATTTACATAAAATTACTTTTTTTTGTATAAATAAAGAAATTTTCACGGGCCCCTGAAGGGAGGTTAAACGTAAGAAATTATTAATAACCCGAGGCACCGAGGTAAACAGAGAACATTGACACGCCACCTATATATTAATATTATAGTGACTTGCTTTGAATAGCAGTAACTTTGTTAAACAATCTACATTCTTAATAATAAACCTGAGTTTTTTAGCACCATTGTCTGTACTACAGGCTAGACTACATTACGTGGGCTTGTACTTAAACAGAATGCTTTTCACACGACAATAGCTGTGGCTGCTATTGATGACGCGTGCAGGAATTCCGGTACCATAGAAACGTCGCATTGCTTACCATTGTCGTGTGTCAACACGCTTCGTTGGTGTCNAATCTACATTCTTAATAATAAACCTGAGTTTTTTAGCACCATTGTCTGTACTACAGGCTAGACTACATTACGTGGGCTTGTACTTAAACAGAATGCTTTTCACACGACAATAGCTGTGGCTGCTATTGATGACGCGTGCAGGAATTCCGGTACCATAGAAACGTCGCATTGCTTACCATTGTCGTGTGTCAACACGCTTCGTTGGTGTCGGATTTTTTGTGATTTCAAACTTATATGGACGCTTAATCCTGAGATTATATTCACGTGAATCTAGAGTGACTTCAACAATGAGAAACAACTGTTCAAGACTATTTCATTAGTTGTTCCGATATAGTTTCTTGGACCTTGCAAAAATTTGCGTACCCTGAATTCCGCCTGTTCCACGCGGATGTCCCATTCTCCCGGCAGCCTCCGACCTCTAAAGTACTTGGACCAGTCGGTATTTTGATCGTCCACCACAAGCAACGTCACACATCGGTCTCGGTTGTAACCACGGCCCACTGACGCTACCGATGTTACACTTCCTAAATCGTACGATAAGCTTTAATATGAGAACACATGTATTTTTTTTATTGCCCTTATAGGCAGACGAGCATAGGGCCCACCTGATGGTGAGTAGTTACCGTCACCCATGGACTTCAGTAATGCTAGGGGTACAGTCAAGCCGCTGCCTACAGCTTAATACTCTACACAAGCCTCGTTTGAAGAAATACATGTCATAGCGCTCGGAAAACACCGTGGAGGGGAGCTCATTCCATAGCCGGATAGTACGTAACAAAAAGACCTCTGCGGTCCAGCCACTGCGGTCATCCACGCACTGTGGTTGACCGCAGTGGCTCCAGGTAGTATCGATGAACTCTACTCCGGTGGCGGGCGGTGCTATGGTAAAAATGAGATGACGGTATCATCTCGAACAATTCCTCAGAGCACTCCCCATGGAACATACGGTACAAAATACAGAGGGAATCGAAGTCCCTCCGCAGACCGTGTAAGTGTTTACTCTTAGACATCAAGCTATCGAAAAATACACAAGCATATTATTATAAATAATTAATAATAAAAAGGCTTATTTACATAAATAACATAATTTAACATTGTAAATGGGATAAATGATATAGGTAATTAGTGTCTTGAAATTGTAGTGCTCACCGAGTAAATTAGCGCCTTGATCACGAGCGGCGCCTGTGAGAGATTGTACCCGTTGCAACAAGGACTCTCTAGATTTGGCGGGGGAAGATGGCGCTGATGTACCCCTAGAGCCGCCTCGCAAATTAAGAGAGAGGTCCCCACCAGCTGCTGCAGCAGACGGCGCTGGCGGAGGTCCGGACGAGCCTCCCAAGCTGCCTCCAGTCGCTAGTTAAAAATTAATCTTATTTACATCTACTTACAAATTGTCACTGATAAATTGAAATTTCCAAAACAATTAATATTAAAAAATTGCACGTAAAAACATATTTAAATTTAAATAAACGGGTTGAGGTTTCCTTTATTTCCAATGGTATTTTTATTTCATTTTATCCTATAGGTCGTAAATTGAATTGAATAAGAAACTCGTCAAATTGAATTGCCCCAAATAAAGTTACGGTCCTATACAAATACATTTTGTTCTCCAATAGTACGACAATGAAATAATCTAAATAAGATTATGTGAAAGTGAAAGTCTCATGTCCGAAAAATATGCACAATTTATTGTCTTTGAAAAAAATTATTTTAAAATGGGCAAAGATAGAACAGTGAGGTACTATTTTCTCTTCTGTTCGTTAACGAGTTTCCTTTTTCTTAGTAGCTGTTGATGTTGATGATAAAAATACCTTTATTTTCAAAATGAATACGATAAAATAATACATTAATAAATTTAAGTCTCGGGGTATCAGTAATTACTGTCGAGTTTCAGTAATTGGGCGAACATTGGAATCTATTAAAAATTTTGTTGAAATAATTGTTTTCGAAGGATTTGTTCAAAGAACCCGCAAAATTATAATTTGCGTAATCACTGGTGGTAGGACCTCTTGGGAGTCTGCACGGGTAGGTACCACCACCTCGCCTATTTCCGCCGTGAAGCAGTAATGCGTTTCGGTTTGAAGGGTGGGGCAGCCGTTGTAACTATACTGAGACCTTAGAACTTATATCTCATGGTGGGTAGCGCATTTACGTTGTAGATGTCTATGGGCTTCAGTAATCACTTAACACCAGGTGAGCNTCACTGGTGGTAGGACCTCTTGGGAGTCTGCACGGGTAGGTACCACCACCTCGCCTATTTCCGCCGTGAAGCAGTAATGCGTTTCGGTTTGAAGGGTGGGGCAGCCGTTGTAACTATACTGAGACCTTAGAACTTATATCTCATGGTGGGTAGCGCATTTACGTTGTAGATGTCTATGGGCTTCAGTAATCACTTAACATCAGGTGGGCTGTGAGCTCGTCCACCCATCTAAGCAATAAAAAAAAAAAACATGTACATAAATGAAATATGGCTTGACCATGGAAATGGTTTTCGAATTATTTATCGACAAAGTTAAACCGCAGCAATAAGTAAAACATCATGTTTCCTGACTCAAAGGTATTAAGTTAGTAATTGAAAACAAAGTAATTGAAATTTTGTGTCCAAATAAGAAAACCTGCAATTACGAGATGTTTATTTAATTAATTGAATTAAACATGATTCGTTAATTAATTTTCACAATATTCTCAAGAATAATTTAAAAAAAGAGATTGTAAGAAAAAGTTTACATCCCAATGAAAAGCTGAAATTCGAATCTGGGTTAAAACCAAAACTAGTAATCATTTAGGTGGAAGAATATGTTACATCATTCTAAGTTCTGGCAATAAGGTTAGTCATTTTTATAGCTTCTAAGCTATCTACACCCATACTTTAAATCGGAATGCAGAACTGATTCGCGGTAAAAATAGAAAAGACGATAGTGCCGTGATGGTGTCCTTCGTGAGCTGGACTTAAGTACGCATATCCTTAAGAAATTTAATATCTGCCTGCGGGATTTTAAAACAGGGCCTTGCGATACGAGTACGGCAGGCGTTTCATTTTTAAAGCGACGACGACCAAGCTTCAATCCATCAGTTGCTATATTCTAAATATTGATAAAGCTACTCAGTATACTTGAAATAGTTTATTTCTACGGAAATGGTGATGGTTAATGGTAGGCAGCGACTTAGCTATGCCCCTGGCATTGCTGACGTCTACTCATCATCGGGTGGGCCATATGGTCGCCCGCTTACACGGTCAAAAAAAAAGGGAATTACATATAATACCTGTCTTTTTTTATTTATTGCTTAGATTGGTAGACAGCCCGCCTGGTGTTAAGTGGTTACTGGAGCCCATAGACATCCACAACGTAAATGCGCCACCTACCTTGAGATTAAGGTCTCATTATAGTTACAACGGCTGCTCCGCCCTTCAAATCGAAACGCATCACTGCTTCACGGCACAAATAGGTAGGGTGGTGGTACCTACACGCGCGGACTCACAAGAGGTCCTACCACCAGTAATTTTCGTGTAATCGCTTTTTTAGATCGCTGTTTCATTACAACCTCAAACTTTTTCCAATAATAATAATCTTATATCCTTAAACGAGCAATTGTTATATATGTCGTGGATAACGACTTTTAGTAATATTAAGACGGTGGTTTTGATTATTATTTTAAATGATGAAATGTTGTTTTGATAAATATCACAAAATGAAGGGTAGACTCCGTAACGCCACAGTATAAAATGGCGGTACGTGGACAGAGTCGTGGCATTCCGTGTCAGACAGTAATTCCGTCCGTCTTAGTCAGTGAGTCTCTGTCAGTCAGTCAGTCGGTCAGTCGGTCTGTCGGTATGTGCAACGAAACTGTCGGTTTATCCTGTCATTGTGAAAGTTGTGTGTGTTGAGTTTCAATAATTATTATTCAAAAGGTTTTATTGACTTTTTATAAACTGTGTTCAATCAAATACGAGTGATGACGGAACCTACCGCTCAGCCATCCCTGACGTGTGCTGACATATATATAATCTGAATCTCGATAAATTTTAGTATACAGGGGATTTCAGGGGCGATAAATCGATCTAGCTACGATTTATATTCAGAAAATGTTGTTTTATTTAAAATGTTGTATATACTCTTCCCGACATCTGTTGGCGAATAATAATACTATTTTTCATAATTGAGAGCAACTAACTGCTTTAAAAACACAATAACACTAAAGCTATTTCAGCAGATGGCGTTGTTATGCCACCCGAAGCCACTGAAAAATGCCTAAACGATCTTCGAATATTTCATCATTTTATCAATATGTAATTCGTATTTAAATATAATTTCTAAAAAACACAAATTATCAAAAAAAACCGGTTATCGTCTAGTATTTTTATATAGTTTCAATTATTAAGACTTACCCTGCGACGTGGGCTTTTGAGCTTGCGGCTTGGGTTGACTAGTGGTGGCCGCGCGGCCCGTGTAAGGGTCCACCTCGCCCTCATCGCACTCCGACTGCAGATCACCGGAGCTGAATCTGCGCAATGCCTCCACTGAACTACGCGCCCCACCGCCACGCCACCAAACAGGGACACGTACAGGAGGGACAAAACCGACACACACTATGTAGCCACTCACGATTTTACACCTATAACTTTTAATCCTACCAAAGTTATCTATTAAATATAAAGAACTAATCTTCATCATTGAGAAAATATTGTATCATTAATTGAACGATACGATCATCGACAAAATTTACAGTTTAATTGAAAATACTTAAAGTATTAAGTATCTTAATAAATCAATTGATGTAATCATTTTAAATTAAATTCACTAAGCTCTGTCAGACAATCATAACATACAGAACATTTATCTTTTTATCGCAGAATAAAAAAAGAACAGTAATAAATATACATGTGCATATAACCCTACTTTATCCATTTTAAAAGTCATCAAATTGCTTATTTATATCAAGCAGCAACATCGAATTGCGAATACGACATAGACTTCGAAGCTACATGCATTGAGGGATTAATTCCGTTGTTGTAGCTATTATAGCGAATGAACACAACAATTAACAATCTTGGCGATCGGTCTTATTATTCATGAGTGTTACACGGTATGTGGAGGGGTGTGGTGGGATGCCAGGTTGAATTAGTGCGGACGAGGGGTGGAGGAAGCAGCGGTGAAGCGAATTTCGTCAACGGCAGTGCCACAAATTTGCGGAAACCATTAAAGGCTTCGTCAAACAGAACGCGTACTTAGCGCGCGTTAGAGCGTTAAACTGACGGCGCGCTATGACGCCGAGATATGTTGTTGTACTACTATGGTAATATACTGTCAAACAGAGCGCCAGCGCTATAAGTACGCAACGCTCTGTCGCGGCGTTAGGATGCTTTGACGTCAGGCGTTGTAATTTTTTACAAATTTCATTTAGCGTCCGAGTGAATGTGTATTAGAATACTGGATAATGCCCGAAAAATTGATAGAATTAGTTAGAAAATACTCATGCTTATACAATGCCACATCTGAATCACTCGACAACTTAATACTTTTAAATTTTCATACTGCTATCGAAAGACACTATGATTTGGTGAATGCGTTGCGTCAAGGAGCGTTGGACTCATCTAGTCAATTTGTGTGACATGAAAAGAGCGCGACGTTAAAACGCTGCGCTAAGTACGCGTTCTGTTTGACGAAGCCTTAAGCTCGCAATAAATCGTCTCATAAATTTTCTCTTTTAATGAATACAAAAAATTATTAAAGTAATTAAGTGAAATAATTTAACAAAACTGTATTTTATTTTAGAAAAGGTTGTTGAGCTTCATTTACTTTTTGTGTATAGTAATTACAACAATAAATTAATCAAAATTATACATTCAACACCAAATATCACGCTCGGATATAATATCATTTTTATCATACGTATTCTGAAATGCATTAAATTAGCACTATTTATAGAAACAAAAATAAAAGCAGTAGATAGACTTTAAATAATTTACATACTTAAATAGATAAATGCTCTAAATAATTTAATAGCAAACTTTAGATACGCATAATGTGAAGACATAAATATTTATTCATTTTTATTTATAATTATTTCTAAACAAAGCATGTAAATTCTGGTTCACAAATACTACTTAGTTTTTTTTTTTTTTTCTAGATGAGTGGATGAGCTCACAGCCCACTTGGTGTTGGCAAGTGGTTACTGGAGCCCATAGACATCTACGACGTAAATGCGCCACCCACCTTGAGAAATACGTTCTAGGGTCTCAAGTATAGTTACAACGGCTGCCCCACCCTTCAAACCGAAACGCATTACTGCTTCACGGCAGAAATAGGCAGAGCGGTGGTACCTACCCGCGCGGACTCACAAGTGGTTCTACCCCCAGTAAAAATACTTTAAGACGACTTTCGCCTAAACATAGAATTTTTTTTTATTTTAGGGTAACAAAACTATATACATATATATTTCAAAAATAAACTGAAACAATACACATAGAGTAATAGTACAGTTAAAACAGAAGAAAAAAGACCATGCAAGAAATTCGAGTGTTTATAGCAAGCAAATTACAGAAGAAAATTACAAGCAAATTGAATAACAGTTTTAATTATTAAAACCACTTTTACGGATGATTGACCGTCCATGACCACGGATATTGTTCAAAACGTATAATATATATAAATAAGTAATAATACTAAAATACAAATAAAGCGATATTCACACGTAGAGTAGTTTTAAACACATTAACGACTCCAGAAAATCAAAGGAAATACCAACAGCCCACGTTTTTATTTAATTTATTAAAATACGTACCTTCTTTTCAAGTAATTAACATTGGAAGTGAAAGAGCTGCGGAAGCTTGAGAAAGACAGGGTTGATGTGGTCGCGGCCTGCGGGCCACAGATCCCAGGACACCCGGACCGCTCTATTTTGACGTCCCCTGAATATTAATTTGAATTAGCCGGGTCGGTATTCCCTTTTCAGGAATATTATTTTTTGCATCATTAATTTACGTTACACACATGTAAATTTGTTACAAGCCGAAGCTCAGGATAAACAAAAATTCTTCACCGAAACACAAATTTATTTTAAATTCAGTTATTACGACAATTAACTTGAGTCGAGCCGTTCGTCGTTTCTATAGAACTCTCTTTCTATCGCCTATATAATTATTATCACGCTTTTATACTGGTTTCGATTATGGCTTCAATTTTCTAGAACATTCCCGATAGAACTAGAAGTTTCGAGAATGATCTAGACTAGTCTTGCTTATGTTGAGAACATTCACCATTAGAACAAACACTCTCGATACAAATGGAACACTGAGGACTAGAACATTCGAATAGTGTTTTCAGAGCATTCCAGTTACCCGGTATCTAATGACAGATGACGTTACTCAACATATAACGATAAACGAAAGGTCCGGATTCTGTTTACTTCTACGTCATATACTTTCTATATCAATTTGCGGTCTCTTACAAAATAGGCTACAACTTTTCAGAATTTAAGGCAATGTAAAGCTGATAATTTAGTACGCCAGAAATTCGAATCTTAAATCTAATTATTTTCGTTGACAGACAGCAGACAGTAGCAATTTATCTTCTCATTAAACTTATTAAGCCCAACTCGAAAATAAAGTAAGCTCTGGGCGAGAACGCATGTTATAAATCAGTACATTTAGTCTTAACCTAGATCGCTAAATAAAGGTGACCTTCCATTGCCTTGATCATAGGTATTTATATAATATGTATATATATGTACACAGAACTTATATAAAAATAAGTGCTTAATAGTCATCATATTATTGTTTTTTTTAAATTTCAAACGGTAAATACCACATTAAATGTATTTTTTTGAAGATTCTTGTCCGCCTGATTTTGACCATAAACTCGGCAATTGTACATACATTTCGCGTTTAATGTTTTGTATTTGCTGCATTTATTTATTTTAATATACAATAAGCCAGACTCTACTTTAGTCTTCTTAAGATATTGTAGAGTAAACAGTACGCTTATTCAGCTTGTGATAAAAAAACAAAAAAAAATGTCACAGTTATTCCATTTTGAAGACACTTATCTACAAAAGAGGCGAAAGGAATATTACGTACATCTTAAGTAACCTTACTATACTGTATATAGCTTTAAGAAAATTCTAGAACACTATCTAACACAATAACTTTTAACATTCCTATTGAATTGAAATATAACAAAATGGTTGCTCAGAATCAACGCGATTATTTATTATTCTGTTTGATAATATAAACGAATATTGTAATCGTAGTTCACTTACCTCGGGAAATCTTTGCGGAAGTATCGTAAGCGTCAATGATCGGATTGGAGCAAGCGAAGTGTTCTGATGACAAGCAACTAAGGGGAGGCTACCTGTTTAGAAAACCGTACCCTTAATTTAAATCATACTTATATCTTTCTAGTGTAATTACCTACTGAAACTGTAACTGTAATATATCCCATATTTAAAGATTAAAATTTGAAAAAAATATAACAAAAGAACTTCTTCAGCTATATGAATGGAATAAACTTAATTGTAGTTCAATTAAAAACTTCAAACTGTTGATACTAATCTATTTCTATACTAATATTATAAAGAGAAAAGATTTGTTTGTTTCGAATAGGCTCCGAAACTACTGGACCGATTTGAAAAAATCTTTTTCCATTAGAAGCCGACATTGTCTTTTTTTATTTTTTATTTTTTGGTTTCATGTGTGTTTTAATGTTTCCGAAGCGAAGCGAGGGCGGGTCGCTAGTATATATGTTACCGGAAATGTATGAAATCAAGGAATTGTATACAAATCCTAGGAAATGTATACAATTCCGATACTATTTAGGAAATGTATAAAATATTGTTTGAAAAACTATTTAATGCATATATATCCTAGGAAATGTATAAATTTCCTCGGAATTGTATATAATTCCAATATCGTATTAGGAAATGTATAAAGTAAATGCTTTCTGTAATCAAACACGTTGTTAATAATATTTTTTTAATATAACACTTATTGAGACAATCGGGTAACAGTCATACTGTAAAATAATAATAATATATTCATATTATCTTACTAATTAAAACTTCTAAAATCAACTATCTATTAACTTTTAACGTATCACAAAATCAACTTATATTTATTCTTATAAAATCAAATTTTCATTTGGCAAGTAATCAGTCTGATAATTAAATAATTATAAATGTCAAAGTATAAAAGTAAATCTTTATATTATAATACTTTGTCAGTTCATATAGCTATTTATTTTTGCAGGGTAAGCTCGAATGGCATTTGGAAGTACATAATACTTTATTTTTAAAACACAGACATCTTGATGTAGCACAGTTTTTCTTACAAAGGCACTTCTTAAATCCCTGGCCGGTTCCAGTGGATTGCAAGTTGGCAACTGACCGTAGTGCAAGACTCGTCCCACTGTCCCCGCGTACCCACCAATATCTTAAATGTTTTACATTTCCGATTGCTATTTAGGAAATGTATAGATTTCCTAGGAAATGTGTAATGTATAAGTATAATATAATTTATTTCACACATTTCCGTGCGATTTTGGGAATTACATACATTTCCTAGGAATTGTATACAATAACGGATTACATACATTTCCGTTAACATATATATAAAAATGGATTGCTGTTCGTTAGTCTCGCTAAAACTCGAGAACGGCTGGACCGATTTGGCTAATTTTGGTCTTGAATTGTTTGTGCAAGTTCAGAGAAGGTTTAAAAGGTAGATAAATATGAAAATGCTCGGAATATAAATAAAAATAACAGTTTGGTTTTCCCTTTGATGTGTCCCCCGTCGGAAGGATTCCTTTTGTTTGTTTTAAGTTTATTTTATACAAAACTTTAGGTCTTTTATTTAATCGATTGAGGCACTACGGAGTTTGCCGGGTCAGCTAGTACCAAATAAAAAGCACTATTAATTACAAAGATAAATGTCGCATTAAACGAAATGTCGCTCATTATAAATAACCTTTCACCCCTATGTTTTAATTTCTCGAAGGTTCCTTAATAAATTATGTCCGTATTGTTCGAGAAACGGTTGACACATTATAATTAATTTCGGTTCCTTTTCCTTGTATAATAGATCTGATTATTATATCCTAAGTCATCGTGTCAAAACTCCTTAACAACAATACTCCTAAACCTCTTTATTATTGTAAATGTATAATACTATATGTAATAATGTCCCGACCCTTTGTCGCCCTTCGGCTAAATTTATCAGAGCGATAAATCGTACTTTTTCGTGACATTCGTTCCTTTTTTCTTTTAATACAAAAACGTGTTTTAATAGGATATCAAATGTAAAAGATTGTAATCAATTACACTCTATTTTTACAGCCTAAAACTATAGGAATTAGTTGAGTAATAATACTGTAGAGATGAAACTTTTATTATAAAGATACTATTGTATTATATTTCCTTGAAACAAACAAGCTAACACTAGTTTATAAGAAGTTTCAAGTTACAAAATAACCGAAAATGCGACACAGGTCTAGTCCCGAAATAGTGATCTTTCGTATGACTGACGAATGTGATACTGCTGAGCCACAAGTTCGAATTCGTATGGGCTGCGGTGATCACACGCGGTGAGCACATCTCATTACTCCCAAGAGGTCAAATTGTATGATAAATTAATTAATAATTTGTGTTCGATTCGTAAATTATATGTTTTTTACAAAAAGCGGATGTTTATGAGCCACAATATTTTCACAAACTTGATTTGTCCTTTTGGCTCGTCGAAATGCTTTTTTTTGTTATTTCCTACTTAAGCTGATACCTTAACTAGTAGGTGAGCTCACGGGGCTCAAACCGGAGTGATGCTAACACTGACCTAGCAGGAGCAGTGCTTCGCAGAATCTACCACCGGATCGGAAACGCGACCCACGTTTTGGGCGACGTCGACTGTTTACCATTTGGTCTACAGGTTAGTTTCCAGCGGCCACGACAAGAGGGTTCTCATGTCGGCGAAGTGCTAAGAAAAAGCGCCTTTCGGCTTTTTCTTAGCTTAGCTTAGCTTGAATAAACAATAGCTTGGATTTAATAAAAGTTCTTTCAAAACTGACAGAGCACTGATTTTAATACATTGCTTCGTTGACCGAAGCAATTTACTTCGTCTCTTTCCGTCGAGCAGTGAATCATTACGCAACCAACCCTCGTATTTCGGCGGTTGATCCATTACTAGGCCGTTGACTGGCACTCTTTTATTACGTACGTTTTACTCTCCCCTTCTTTATGTAATCGTAAAAAAAATGGAATTTTCACACATAAATTTGACGAAACTGAATCTTATAACAAGATAATCAATAGTTTATCTGATTCAATCAGTCACATTTGATTACTTTCGACGGTAACCATTTATTTTAATAATTATAGGTTGTTAATTATCACTCACAAGAATATATTAAACTGTTTTATCTTTGCTTATTAATATGTAGATTAGATTTCCTAGTTTTTTTACATGCAGCTTTTTTTTATTGATTAGATGGGTAGACGAGTTCACAGCCCACCTGGTGTTAAGTGGTAACTGGAGCCCATAGACATATACAACGTAAATGTGCCACTCACCTTGAGATATAAGTTCTAAGGTCTCAGTATAGTTACAACGGCTGCCCCGCCCTTCAAACTGAAACGCATTACTGCTTCACGGCAGAAATAGACCTAGTACCTACCCGTGCGGATTCACAAGAGGTCCTACCACCAGTAAACCTATAATCAGTAATCTATTAATATAAAAAATATAGCTTCGCTCGCAATAATATAGAAAAACAGTGCTCTGAGGAATTGGTCGAGATGATACCGGCATCTCGTTTTTACCATCGCACCAAAAAAAAACAATAAATAGCGTCTAATAAATTACTGGTGGTAGGGCGTTCGGGTAGGTATCGCTACCCCACCTATTTCTGCTACGAGGCAGTGCGTTTCGATATGAAGGGCTGGGCAGCCGATATATTATAAAACTGAGACTTTTTTTTTTTCCTACCTATGCTGATAGCCTTGAGAGGCTATTTCAGCTTCGCCCTAACGTTTGTAAGTGAGCTCGCGGGGCTCAACTGGAGAGTTGCTAACACTGACCCTAGCAAGAGCAGTGCTTCGCAGAATCTACCACCGGATCGGAAACGCGACCCACTGAGAAGATCCGGCGAGAAACTGAGTGGGCTGTGTCTATGGGTTAGTTCGCTCGTCGAGCCCTTCGTCGCAAGCGACGGGTTCGACGAGGACGGTGACCGGTGCTTGTGGTGCCTAAAAGCACCGTTAATGGATCAGGAGGATCCGTAATGACGTGACTGAGACTTAGAATTCAAGTCTCAAGTTGGATATAAGTATTTATATCGTTGATGTCTATAGGCTTCGGTTACTACTTAATACCAGGTTGGCGCGAGTTCGTATATCAGTAGAAGCGATAAAAAAATCATTCGGTGTACCTAGTTGTTAAAATGCGAAAGCATAAGAAGAAGTTCACTTTCGCATTCATAATATTTAGAAGGATCGATTATAATAGAAGGAAAATTCGATTTGACGTAAAGGAAAACTTCAAAACCGCTTCACAAACGCAAAATCCTTTATCTGTAAACTCAAACAAAGCAATTTTCACGAGGTAAGAACTTTTTTTCAGAATACTAGCTAAATATGAAAAACGTTCAAAGAAATAAATTATTAAAACGTATAAAAGAGGAAGTGATAATGATTTGGACTGTCATCTAAAAGAACAGAAGGATTCGATTCTTTAAAACACACGAACAGAAACAGCGCCTACTAAAACGAAGTCTACAAGATTTGTTTCAAATCAACAAATTGCTATATGTATGTATGTACTTTTAAGCACCGTAAGCGTATCTTGTTTACAGGTATAGATGAAATATAATAAAACACTGTTAATATTCGTCACGTCGTATACAAAGATCGTTAACTACCTTTTGGCTGAAAGCCAAGTCTATCCGCCGCTTTTCTGTTACGCAAGAATCGATTCGGAGAGTTGAGTGTTGAATTCTAGCAAATACATGACATTTGGTGCCTCGAAACACGCTCCAATTTTGAAAAAATCAATTGAACTAAATCATCGTTTGCGTAAATTAGCAGAAAACAAATTGCCGTCGATTGTTATCGTTTAATATTTCGGACGTAATGAATTCGCCCCCTGGGGGAGACCACACTATTATAGCTCCTACATTTGAGCCAATAAACATTACGGTCCGCTTGGAACAGTGGATAATTGCTTCCTAAACATCGTTTACCGTCGTTTCGTGAAAACGTTCACGATATAACAAAAAAATGCTTTGAGAAATACATAAATATGTAGATGTAATGATTAATCAAAAATTATTTTTTTGTTGTGTAAGTACCTCTATAAAACCAAATTATTGAAAATGCAACATAAAAAAAAAATTGAGACATATCTCAATTGGTCCTAGCCAACCTGTACCATTGTTCTATTTAATCCACACCCCATATAATCTTTTTCGTTGGTAATCATTACAAAATTTCACATCTAAAATGAAGAATTTGGAGAATAGCTGTGCACACGCATTTAAAGTTCAAACTTCATTCCTTGTAGGCATAAAAGCAATGATTATCGTCAAAGCGCATCAAAACCTATCCACCACAATACCCAGTTATATTTATAATTCCCTTGTGTTTATAAAAAAACTATTCAAATTCCTAAGTGATTCGGTGAAAGCCAAAATCAATTAAATTTGAAAAATTATGAGAGTTTAACAATAGTAAATTCTAATGTTGTCTATGAAATAAACACAGGCAGCGGCTTGGCTCTGCCCCTGGCATTGCTGAAGTCCATGGGCGACGGTAACCACTCACCATCAGGTGGGCCGTATGCCCGTCTGCCTACAAAGGCAATAAAAAAAAAAATAAAAAAACATATGATGAATCCAACAAACTTTAGTTTAAAATTTATACAAAGTTCCCTTTGTAGATAAATCTCCGAAAGCTAACCGATTAGGATTAGTTTTCTGAAGACTATCTTCAAATAGCTTCTTATGATATTAGTTTTTTTTTTCTAACAATATAAAAGTTGGCAAAGTATTTGGCAAAAGTTTTCGACCAAATTTATTGTATTCAATCTAAGAGAATTAAATTATTTTACATAAACTAAATTCAAAAAATAATTAACCCAAAACGTCGTCACCGCGTTTTGATTTAACCTAATCACCAATTTTGTCGCCTTTAAACTCGCAATCCCGCCCTACGAGGACGTTCCCCGCCCTATATACATATCGTCCTATATATAAACCTACTATAAATTAACCCCGTATCGTTACATTTATGTACCCATTTTGAGGTTCACATCTGAAATCTGACAGTTTCATGAATGAAAATATATTAGAAAGCCGTAAACACATTCTAGATTTTCGGTTTTACGGTAGACGATAATGCTAGGAAATAGGAAAATAAACTTACTGGATTCGGGACGATTCCGGTGAAGCGTGAATTCTTTTCTAGAGCACAAAACGCGTGTTCACGACTGCAAAGTGTGGGTAGCAAGGGGAATGCCTTCTGAAATACTGATGGGGAACTGAGTGTCAGCGCACGCCACCCTACGGTATTGATTTTGGGCGGTAACGTCCATCCGCTACAGTAGAGACACCTTACAAGAACTACAAGCTGCAATGGTTTGCTCTTACATTAAACAGATGGCGTGAAAAGCAGAAGTACACAATTTTCGCGCGTTCACTTTATCATTATTTATTATTATTATCATTTTTTTTTATAAATTGTGTTTTTTAGAAATTATATTTAATTACGAATTACATATTAATATTATATTATATTATTTATATTATATTTTATTCTTTCAATAAAAAAACAAAAAAATATGTTTAAGTTGATAATTATCGATAAAGTTGATTATTAAAAACACGAATAAAGAAACATTTTCTGAAGGTAAATCGATCGTAGCTAGATTTTTTTTATTGCCCTTGTAGGCAGACAAGCATACGGTCCACCTGATGGTGAGTGGTTACCGTCGCCCATAAATTTCAGCAATGCCAGGGGCAGAGCCAAGCCACTGCCTAAAGCCTGTACCTGTATCCCTAGTTTCATAAATACCAAATAGCTCGATAGAGGGTATTTCAACAATGCGAATGGGCTTCTTCTGTAATAATACCTACTTAAATAAGATACGACTATTGGATCAGGCCTATTGGAGAGGAACTAATGGCAAGAAATGGATCGCATTTCCCTATCATCCAATAAATAGCTCCATGAGATTCTGAAGGGGACACGAATCGCGAAGTCATCTGCATTGTTTTATTGCTAATTCAATGATTGCTCAGGTTTCATCATGTAATGGCTTATTAATAGTTTAATTGCTCGTAGAACGGATGGCCGTTGGGGCCGAAATGTTCTCGTGGGGCGATCACGTACCGGAAAACGTAGCGTGGGTAGGCCTCCCACAAAATGGACTTAGTGAGGTTCATGGGGATCCGCTGGATGGAAGCAGCGCAGGACCGATCTTTGTGGCGAGGCTTGGGGAGGCATATGTCCAGCAGTAGACATCCGTGGGCTGATAGAATAGAATCGTTTCAAATCTGGTGGTAGGGTTCTGTGTAGAAGCCCGCCCGGGTTGGTACCACCGTCCTGTCTATTTCTGCCGCAAAACAGTAATACTGTGTTCCGGTCTGAAGGACAGGATAGCCGGTGTAACATACATAAGGCTGCCCATCCAGGCCAGGATAGGCAGCGCATCTGAGTCACTGATGTAGTTTGGATGTCTATGGGCGACGGTTATCATTTCCCATCAGATGAGCCGTAAGCTCGTCTGCCTATCGAAAGCAATAAAAAAAAAAAAACTGTAAAAGCCCAGGTATGGAAATATGATCTCATCTCATTTCATTCCATTTGATTCAATCCCATCATTATATTTTACACTCCAATTGATTAATACTTCAGATAAATTAATTTCATTTAATTCTGCTCCATTCAATTGTTCATACAACATAGTGTAAATGTGTTATAGTTAAATAATTGAAGAATAAATAAATTCGACGCTGGCAACAATGGTATCGCAAGACGCTACTTGCCTTACTAAAAAAAGAAAAAGAAGAAAAGGCCGCATAGATTACGACTCTGTTACGCCGATCGTGCGTGCTGTTGAGATTTCTATAAGCTCCGTTAACCTTTTAACAACAGACGATCAAAGCGTATGCCAATCAACCAAAAAAAAAATCATACTGACACAAATAAAAAATTTGAATACATTTTTACATCGTGAGCAATATGTGTATTTACCAATTATAAGTTGCGTAGGAATGAAGTGTGTCCTCTAGCGCTGATTCATTGAAGCTGTAACGCGTTGAATTCTAATGCATCGCAAGCAACACGCACAAGTACACGTTAAGGTAATTGAAATCGTGTACTAATGAATTATTTAAGTTTTTTTTTTATTAATAAACAAAACGCATCGCCTTTATTGCGGTAGTGCAACTTGACTGTACTTCTGGAATCGTTGGTTACCATTACAACGACGACCACTTACCGCCATGTAGGCCGTACGCTCGTCTGTCCTAGAACTATAAGAAGCTTTAAAATGAAAATTGTAGTTAGATATTTGTGGTGTACATAGGCTAGACATACAACGTGGTCAAAATCTTTACAACTACACCTGAGAATGTGCAAAAAGAAGATTATCTGCAGGATCTTGTGGTATACCTGCTGTCCTGTGAGTGTGTGCGTGTTGGACACGGGTGTAAAGTGTTGTGTGGATGTGTGCGTGTGTCGTAACGCCCGCCAACCGCCCGCAACCGCCGACGCTCCGCTCAAACGTTGCGTATCCGACACCTGGCTCTCGTCCACACTTGTGACCCAGTATTAATCAATTTTGAGCCTTCACTACTCCGTTTAATGTAAGAGGTATAAACATATAATCGTTATACTATAATATTTTTTTATGATTGAAGACTTAATGGTTGCTGGTGGTATTTTCAGCTTCACGAGGACAGGTGGGCGAGCAAAGGCTCAGTCAGAAGGGATGGGATTTGCTAACAGCTGCCCGAGCGCCTCCAAAGGAGAGCTAACAACTCAAGGGCATCTGCTTCGCGAATGAATCTACTACCGGATCGGAATCGCGACCCGCTGAGAAGATCCAGCGAGAAACTCAGCGGACTGATGCATGGGTTAGGCTGCACGTCGAACTCTTTGTCGAATTCGACGAGTACGGTTAGGCACTATAATAGTTATAAGTGACATATCTGTTTTTTTTTCATTTTAAGAAAACGCTTCATATCAACGTAACGTAACTTTCACTGTATTGTTTTTGGAAATTATCAAATATTATTTGTATACCTAACTATAATCTTACCGATAAATCAAGGTTTACAATGTATTTTGAAACCGAAATCAGTTTTGTGTCAGAGCTTTTTTCTTAGAGAAAAAAAAACTATTTTAATGATTCTTTAATTTATTTGTGGCTTTATAGCTGGTGCTTCTCATGTGATCCCACCGATTTGCATTTTTTTGAAGTAAACCTTAATAATGTATATTTAATTGAGTTTTTTTGTTTTTTTTTTTTTTATTATGTCCTTGTCATTCCAATAAATTATTTTGTGCCTTACTAAATTTTTGTATGACGGTTAAAAAAAAAAAATATCGTTCACTGTGAACGAGACCGCTCACAGAAAGTAAACTTTATGTGGCCATGGCGTCGCAGTGTAGCTGTGAGCCTCGAGCCAGCCGGTTGGTCCGTCATGCCGCGTTAGCACTCCGAACGACAAACGAACGCGTTAATCCTTTTACAACTGACAAGTGATCAAAAATGTTTAAAACGTGGAGTTTTTTTGTTTGCGCTCTGCTGCTCGCCAACGCAAGAGCACAGGTAAATAGTAATTTTCAATTTAAGAACCCGCGAACACGAGCCTCGACTAGACTCCGGCTTGATTACATTATTTAACTCTTTGTTTTTGTTGTCTGACGCTGTTGGATAACGTTTGATAGTTCTTCGAAATAAGAAGACGTGAGCTTTTTTTTTCCGGTCAAATATTTTAGCGATCTATTGTTAAATCACCCTGACCGCCGCTTATCAAGCTAACATGTACTAAATAAGTAAAACTTGATGTTTGACGATGTAATAAGCTTTTAAATAGGATAGTAGTAAAAAGTCTCTTGGATTGCAAAAAAAAAACATTGAAATAATTTGATTTTTAAGCGTACATCTGAAAGCCAATCGTTCAGTTTCATGTTCTCTATGTAAAGTAGATGATAGTAAAAGAGTACTTGTATGCTATACGTAACCCAGTTCTGAGCCCATCATACAATTTACATTACGAATATGTACCTCGAATACCACTGGCCATATTTACAGAGCTATGTGTAAATAAGTTGCATTCTGTTTGTCTACCTTGTACAACACAGCTCGGTTTGCATAGATGATTTTTTTATGTAAATGAGTCCGAGGAAGGTTGATTATCCACGGTGCTATATCAATATTTAAACGCCTCACCACCAAGTTGGACCCCATTATTTTTAGACCCCATTCATAATTTTTTTATGGTCATCAAAATAATCATAAAAATCGGCTCGATGCTTTAAACGCTTTACTTATTTTTTATTAGCGATATAAGATTGGCCTGATGTCTTCTAATATTCACAATTTGTATCAAAGCTACCACACTGTGTAGTATAGTTATCAGAAGAGGCTTTGAAAGAGGCAGAATAGGCAGGTTGTAGTCCCGAGGTGCCTTCAAGGAGCTGTTTCAAGGGCAAATGCCTTGAACCATGGATAATTGTTTATGTCGTAGATGATAATTTATTATGCAAAAACAAAAAGTTTTTAGTCGGTGACTCTCTTTTACTATTTTCATTCATTCAAGCCACAATTCAAGCACTCCAATTTTAGCCTTACCGTACTAATTATATGAAGAAGATAAATCCCCAACGCCACTCAAAGTGATTGAAAGATGCCTCCACAACTTTTGTTCCTTACTTAGACTTATCCTAAATAAGGCGCAAACACCAATGCCAACTTCAACAGACATTACCGGCGCGGCGCGGGCGCAAGGTTATATTGAACACCTACACGGCCTACGCAAATATACGCTGCTTTTCTCAATTCTAACAACGAAAACCTTCCCTTGAAAGTCTTGTTTAATAAGTGGCTTTTTCGCATAGATGGGTTTTCACTTGTCATCTGGTTTTAAGTGAAAATAACAATGTAAATGCCCCCACTCATCTTGCCATATGAGCTGAAAGATTCCATTGTATTGTATGACGACTGTCCCACCCTTCAAACTGGAAAGCAAGACTGCGTCGCGTCAGAAATTTGCCTCACCCAAGTACTCACCGGCAAAAATCAATAATAATTTCGACCAAATAATAAACAGTTTTTTGACTCTAAACAGAAATAGTAAGTTTAAAATGAATTAACATAACATAATCGTTTGTTTCTATTTAAAATGGAGAAATCGTATATTTTCATATTGATTGTGTATTACTAATTTGAAAATCTGTTTTAATCATGACTATTATGGCATAATAGCACTGATACAACAATACGATTTACGACGACTCGTCTCTCAACAAATACTTGAGTACTAAATAAGATTAATAAATAATAAGCTAAATTGCTGCAATGAATTTACATTCAAACGTAGAATCCGAACATGACTCAAAAATTACATTGAGTCAGAGGAAATATACATATATACTTTAAATAAACAGCTACAGAGAACTGATAATGAATCAGTCGTAAAAATAAGAAAATATACACGTGTTTGTCATAAGAATACAATCGTTTTGTGACATATGTATGTTCGCAAGTATGCATCATTGTAAATATTTTGTATTCAAAACGTGCCATGCATATTCTATACCGCACATTTTAAATCTATTTTCATGTGCATTCACTATGCCTGTCACTGGCATAAGCTATTGAACTGTCAGTACTGAAAATCAGCTGCTGAATTTAGAAAGATTAAGAGCAATAAAATGAAGTGAATCGTAGTTTTCTTTAACAATCGTAAAAGAAAATGTAGTTATCAATTATTTATTTATTTTTCCTACCTAAGCTGATAGTCTTGAGAGACCATTTCAGCGTAGCCTTAACTAGTAGGTGAGCTCACAGGGCTCAAACCTGACGATGTTGTTAACACTAACCCTAACAAGAGCATTGCTTCGTAGAATCTACCACCGGATCGGAAACGTGACCCACTCAGAAGATCCGGCGAAAAACTCAGTGGGCTATGTCTATGGGTTAATTCACTCGTCGAGCCCTTCGTCGCAAGCGACGAGTTCGGCGAGTACGATGACCGGTGCTTGTGGTACCTAAAAGCACCGTTAATGGATCGGGAGGATCCGTAATGACGTGTTTAGGGCGATGTCGACTGTTTACCATTCGGTCTACAGGATCGAGTATGTAATTACCGGCGTTTCATGTCGTGCTACCTTTCCAAAGTGGCGAAGCGATGCCGACTGTAGATACTTACTAACTGAGTCAAGCTCCAGGTCATCATGGAGACCCACGTTCCTTAGGAAACATGGTGCTCCGACGGCTATCCTGCAAAAACGGGATTGAATGACTTGAAGGGGTTTCAAGTTGATGCGGGCCGCGTGAGCGAACAAACACTACGCTTGCTTACGTCATGACGGGGCGTATGCAAGTTTTGTTAGAGCGTCACCATAATTCGGAGGGACAATTTACTTAGCTTAAAATATTCATAAGAAAATACGAATTATACATACCAGTATAGGAACGTAAAGTTGATCTAAAGTATTTTTTAATCGTTTTAAAAAAAAACAACTTCAAATAATACATAAACAAACACAGTGAATGTACCTACAACGACATTCTTTATTTTAATCAGCTTAGCATTGACTTAATATGAACAACGGAAAATAATTAACCTTTAAATATTACATAAAATACTTGTACGTACAATAATTACACGTAACACTGCTAGTTACGTTTGGCTAGGTGCTATGGAGATTATCTTCAAAGCCATCTTAATTGTTGTTTCAGTTACAACATCGAAACGGGATTGTTTTAAATCTGATCCAAAAACCAATTCACTGTCTTAACGAAACATTTATATCTTTATGGTTGTTTTCTAACGAAACTATTGTTTTTCGAATACATTTACCTGAATCGTCGAAGTCGTCGTGGCCTAAAGGATACGACGTCCGGTGCATTCGTTGCTGCGATGCACCAGTGTTCGAATCCCGCAGGTGGGTACCAATTTTTCTAATGAAATACGTACTTAACAAATTAATGTTCACGATTGACTTCCACGGTGAAGGAATAACATCGTGTAATAAAAATCAAACCCGCAAAATTATAATTTGCGTAATCACTGGTGGTAGGACCTCTTGTGAGTCCGCACGGGTAGGTACCACCGCCCAGTCTATTTCTGACTTGAAGCAGTAATGCGTTTCGGTTTGAAGGGTGGGGTAGCCGTTGTAACTATATTGAGACCTTAGAACTTATATCTCAAGGTAGGTGGCGCATTTACGTTGTAGATGTCTATGGGCTCCAGTAACCATTTAACACCAGGTGGGCTGTGAGCTCGTCCACCCATCTAAGCAATAAAAAAAAAACTGTTCATTGCAAAGAAGTTACTTACTCGTTACACAGCTTTATGGTTCAAACTTATCATATGTTTAGTCTACGTCTGTAAGCTTCGCTTATAAGATCCAAAGACGCGAAAGCACTTAATCTTAAAACTTAAAAGGCTTAAGCTTAAAAATAATAAAAGTAGTAAAAAATAAAACATACTATAGAAATATGTTTTCCCAGCCCCAGTAATAAAATCTTATGGTTAAGTGTGTAGGCGCCAGTTGCTGTGTCCTTAAATAGTATGTAGTTTATTTATGTAAAACTATTAAAAGTATCGCTCTATAATATGATACTATTGACTGGAACAGGTTAGAAGATATTGTGTAACAATAGTCTATCCGGCTATTTACTTGGTCAGAAGACACAGGTGTGACCCTGGAGATATTAAGTACCGTCACTTCCCTACGGTCATCCGTCATAGTCATACCTTAACCATAATTTGTTGTCTAATTCTACGTCTAACGGTTTTAAAGTTTTTTTTCAAAACGCGGGACATGAACCGGTCCAAGGATATTAATTATTACTGGAGCCCTTGGATATCAGAACAAAAACGCTTTTACGAATCTTAAAACAAAAGGTTCAAAGTTAAATTCAAATAGATACGAAAGCTGTCTGACACTTCAATAAATAAAACGTTTTTTTTTATTGCCCTTGTAGGCAAACGCACACGGCCCACCTGATGGTGAGTAGTTACCGTCGCCCATGGACATCAGCAATGCCAGGGGCAGAGCCGAGCCGCTGTCTACCGATGTGTTACTAATTCGCGGCAGAAATGCATCCGTGTGGGCTTGTAACATGTCCTAATAATAGTACAAACGCATCGTGAGCCCGCTCAGCTTTGAACCGTCTGCCCTATGTCTCTGTGTCGCGAATCTATTATGCGTTCCAACTTGAAGAGTATTAGAAAAGCAAATCTAGCTTTGGCGTTCGCTGAAAAATAAATCATAGTCATAAAAAAAAATGTATTTAACATTAACCCAACAATACTGTGATTAAAACTGCTTAGGTGCAATTAATCATCATGAAAACTGCACAGTATTTCAAACGGCCTACCGATTATAAAATATATTATGTAAATTAAAAATTAAAAGACGTACCTTATTTTAGTTTTAATGCAATTCGTACAGTGCAAGTACAGTCAGTCAGTCATAGAAACAATACGTCCGTATTTATCGTTTCTACAATCGGATCGTTTCATGGACATTATATGGCATTGCGAGTACCATGATAAATGACGACGTGCAACGCATCTAATTAAATGCGCTTGC